GTTTAATATTATCTGTTTTTATTATTCCATTAGTAGTAATAATTGTAGAACTTTTTCATATTTACTTACTTCATATCCATTAGTAGTAATAATTGTAGAACTTTTAAACTATATAATATTATTGAACACATTTATTAACACTAAATTAAAAACATGATAAAAAAAATTAGTATTTGTTTACGTATTAATTGTAGGTTGTAATGGCTGAACGAGTTGCACACTCTGGCCCTCGGGATCGTTCTGTTTTAGTTATGATACCCGGTGAGCATCGTGCCGATCGTGTGTGGCACGAATCAGCATTTCGAGATGACAAACTGAGGTGCCATCACTATTCGTCATGTGCCTATGTTGATGATGGTCCGCGTCATCCTGGGGTGGTACGGTTGTTGAGAGCATCTAGGTTTCACGGTGTCGAGAGAATAGGACAAGTGCAGTTAGATTGGTCTTTTCTGACTGCGTTAGTGGGGAGGTGGAGACCCGAGGTACACGCATTTCATTTGCCCTTTGGTGAGGTAGGATTGACTTTACAGGATGTGCAAGTCTTGTTGGGGTTGCCCATTGACAGCATACCACTCACTGGTCCCACGATTACTGATAAGGCAGCGTTGTTGCAGATGTGTGCACAATCTGTTGGTTTTATACCAGAAGATGATGATTTAAATTTAGCTACCATAAAAGTAACGAATATCCACTCCATTCCATTAACCGATTGGAGCAATGAAAACGAGGTGACTCAACACACCAGGGCCCTCATTTGGCAGTTGTTAGGTGGTTCATTATTCCCTACCACTACTGAAAACATGGCTAGTTGGTATTTCTTGAAGTTGTTGTAGGGGAACTTAGTAGATGTGCGCCGATGGAGCTGGGGCTCAGCGGTCTTGGCCTATCTGTATCACACCATGTGTAAGGCGGCCAAGGCCCAGGCTAAACAGATTGGAGGATGTTTAATCCTTCTACAAATCTGGGAATGGGAGAGGTTGCCGATGGTTCGGCCCCAAGGTCATCTCCCACTTGACCATATATTGGATTTTCCGTATGCTGTTAGGTATTGTTTAAATAAACAATACATTATCTATGTTACTTCGATTATTGTATTACAAGATGCTATTTATGCTTTTAATCTACGCTATTTATTTATTTATATTATTGTTCATGGAAACTAAATCTAGGTGGGCGTGTCAACATGATTGGCAGCAAACAAACAGATTTTCGTTACGGGTATATAGGGACCAACTAGATCGGATGACGGAAGATGAGGTATAATTTGTTACTTGTACAATTCAATTTTACATGATTTTTAATTTGTTACATTCAATTTCAATAAATTAAATGATATAAATAACTATTTTGTAAAACGCGTATTCAATATTGTACAATTTTTACTTAAGTTGAATAACTTATGATTTATAACAAATACAAAAAAAATCTTTCAAAACAAATAAATATAAAAAACATTAGAAGTCAAAAATCGAGCAACCAATTTACTCCACTACGCTACTTATTTTAGGTGAAATCCGAATTGATAGATAAAAAACATAAGAAGTCAAAAAGTGAACAAAATAAATAATTCGTAGCTGAAGCCACATACGAATTGGGAGGAGTATAATCCGAATAAGTTTTTATCCTAAATAGTACTAAAACATGGTTAAAACTCCAAAGTAGGACTACAAGTTTTATATTTCACAAATAGGACTCCAGATTACCTTATTACCCTTCTTCTAAAAATAATCGATCGACTCTCCATCAACCGCCAGACTTCTCCCCTGCCACTTTCCCTTTGGCCGATCGCAACTTCGATCTCCATCATCAACGACTTCATCGGCGTCATATGTTCTTTTCTCTCCCAGGTACTCTTCTTTCTTTTCTTCCTCCTCTTCTTCTTTTTCTTCTTCTAATTCTTCTGATCTTCATCTTCTTCTAGTAGCCTTGTTCCTGATTCTCTGCTTTCTTTTTTAAAAAAAATTTATCGATCAAATTTGAAAAAATATTGCATGAATGTGAAAGTTTCCAATGAAGATATACTTAACTAGAATTTCTTCTTATCAATTTTGATATATTTCAATCTCAAAATGCCCTGAGTAATGATTCTGAAGAGTGTGTCATTTTTTAATCAAGAATGTCATATTTACTGGTTATATTTTTAAAAAATGACATTTTTATGTCATTCAAGTCTGTGCAGCCTCCGATGAGAATGCCACTTGATATGAATAAATGACAAGATAATGACATTATCTTATGAACATATGTCATTTTCAGATTGTCATCCTGATAAATGTACTGCTACAAACATGACAATTTTTTCAAATACTAGTAAGACTTTTGACATTCTCAGATTATAAAAGTGACATTTTGCTTATGAATTAAAATTCAAATCCAAAAAATCCAAATTAGTAAATAAAATTCAAATCCAAAGAAGAAAAAGAAGAAGAGAATAGGAGACTTGAAAACTGAAGAGGATTAGAAGATGATGAAGAAGAAGAAGAAGAAGAAGCAAAAAATAAGACCATAAATTTGAAGAAGAAGAGGAAGAGGAAGAAGCAGAGGACTTACCTGGCTGCCTATGCGATGGGAGGCCAGAGTCGATGACGAGCTCAGATCCATGGGAGGAAGAGATGTTTGCGATGAATTGCAGAAGATGGCAACGTGATGTTACGGCATCGGAGGCTATTTCCGTCCAAATGCAAATATTTACTCCTATTTAGAGAATTTAAAACAATGAGTCCTAGTTTTGCAATTACCTCCTATTTTACTCCCATTTTGACGATTTTCTCAATCCGAATTGTTCTGACATGGTCCAGAGCACAATTTCGGACCTGCCAACTCCGTTTTGCGCTATCCAGAAAACTTCAAAAAAAATACATTTTTGGGAATTAGATGTTAGATATCTGCACTTATCCGTCAAACACCCGAAACGAATTACGGAGTAGATTCGACTAAGATTTCAATGAGTAAGATGTCTTTTGGAATAAGCAAGTAAAAAGTTTAACTCAATCTAATCCACATTAATGTAACAACCATCCCTTTAGCTATATCCTCAAGAATACGGAGTATAATATTAACAGAATATAGATGACTATCATTAACAAGTCAAAAAAGAAAATTAGATTAAAACATGAAAGTGAATTTACTAAAAAGTAATCCTCTAAACTATTCCATATTTCCAAACGGCTACCTCTGTATACTCAAAAAGGATTTTAATTTGAAGTGTATACCGTACGGTCGGCTGTACGGTGATCACCGTACAGCCGATGGCATTTTTGTAAATTAAATGAAATTCGCGTCTTCTGGTAAATGAGCATTAATGCAGTTTTAGTGAGCATCAAACTTATTTTATTTAGCATTACAAGTCTAAAAATGAGCATCGTGATATCAGCTTTGTATTTTCGAATTCACTTTATTTTCCTTATTTTTTTCTTTTATAAAACTTGTTAAATTATATTTAAAATCAACTCTTATGAACTTCAATGTGAGAATCTAATATAATACGGAGTATGATATAATATGACATTTAAAAAATGAGCGTAAGATGAATACACAAAAGAAATTCTGAGCATAGTACACATTTTAAATGAGTTTTTTGATTTTTTTGAATATTTATTTCGTAATTTATGTATACTCATTTGATATTAGTGCAATACTTATTTTAAAATGTCATATTCATGCATATTTCAAAAGTATAATATTACAATAGGAGTCTAATTCGTTGCTAGGGAATCCTTGTTGCTATTGATCTCAAATGAGCTTTATATTAAACTCAAATGAGTACACGCCTAAACAAAATGAACATACAAAAATGAATATTGAACATATTAGAAATGAGTTTTATGTTGAACTCAAACGAGTATAACTCCCAAAATGAATGAGCACACACAAATGAATTTTTAATATTTTAATACTCATTTTGTAAGTTGTGTATGCTCATTTGGTATTGTTTTATGCTCATTTTAAAAGATTGCACATTTAAAAAAGAAAAAGAAAAGTTAAAATTTAAAAAATTAAGGTTCAAAATTAAAGGAAAATAAAAAAGGAAAAAGAAACGTTAAAGTTAAAAAAAAATTGAAGTTCAAAATTAAAAGAAAAAAAAAACAAGGAAAAATAGAAGCAAAAAAGAAAAAGAAAAGTATGAGAAGAAGCAACCAAGAAGATAAAGAAAGTTGGAAGTTGGAAGAGCAACGATACAGCCAGATGTACCATGTATTTTACGGCAGATGAGAAGAAGGGTGCCTCGAGATGTGTACCTCCAAGATCCTTCGTCATTGATTGTTTGATCGGAAGACCCTTACTACCTCACTATAAAGTAAAGTAAGACAGATGTTTTAGATCCTCTAAATTCGTAGCAATGTCATGTGTATCTGAGTATTTCAATCGAAATATACTCCATATTTTTTAAACAAACGTCAAAATGACTTTGTGTATGATGGTTTTAATTGAACTTTTTCTAGATCATAGCATATTAAATTAAAATAAATCTCACAATTTTTTTTGATCGTAATAAATCAAACAAGATAAAACTTAGACAATAATAAAATATAAATATACATAAAATACACCTATATCAGAGGGGATCGATTCAAAATCAACAATGTTTATGTACACGCTAATTGTACGCAACAATTTACCGGCCGATCATATCGTTTGTGCACAAACAATATTTTTCGTTTGTTGAAGATAATCATTTTTGCTACGAATTTTTTTTTTGTTATTTTTTTTGTCTATGCGAAAAAATGATTCTCTTTACAAATAAAAAATGTCTATCCACAGACAATTTGACCGGCGTCTATAATTTAACGTACAAACAACATTTCTCATTCAAAATAGATTTAAAAAGAAATTAGATTATAGCAAATAAAATCATAGCACAACTTTAGCTCAATTAAAATGAAAATTATTCCTTGCCCCTTTTCCGCGCGCATTTCTCCAAAGTAGAAGTAGATTATAGATACGCCCACCGTACATGTACTAGCAGAAGAGATATAATATTTGTTTGGTAAACTGAACAAGAAGAAAATCGGGTTTCCTGGTGGACGACGGCATAACCGAGGCGGCCGGACCTTTTAAATGAATGAATGGTACCTTGGTAAATGCTCCAACGGGCGGAACAAAAATGGGGTCCGAACCAAAACCCACGGGCCGAGTGGATGAATCGGATCATCTTCATGATCATCAGAATCAGGAAAAGTACGCTCCTTACGTTAGGAGCGACTCCTACGGGATTCAGGGCCGGGGAGAGATTCCATGGACGGAGAAGATTTTGCTGGCGGTGGCGCTGGTGACTCTTTTGCCCTTGAGAGTGGCGGCGGCGACGACCCTTCTGCTGCTCTGCTACTTCACCTGCAGGATTTGCACCGCATTTTCCGCCCCAAACGAGCAGGGGAACTATGCGCACTTAGGCGGCTGGAGAAGGAAAGTCATTATGACGAGCGGCATGTTCAACGCCAGAGGCATCCTCTTCGCCTTCGGGTTTTATCGCATCCACCATACCCGCCGCCGCGATCAGTCTTACGACGACAAGGTACTTAGCCGCTGCAGCCGCCTACTCTTTTTTCGATCATACTTCGGGTACATGGTGATTGTACATAATTTTACAGGCTGATCAAATTGTTTGTGCATAGATTTTTTTTCTTCGTTTTGGAAGAAAATCGTTTTCTTCATCCAAAAAATGTCTGCATCACAGAACCCTCTACATTGAGGAGGTGTCCCACGCCCCCCAGTCGAAGAAACAGCGGACGGAGTAATGTATTCAAAATTTAAGTCAATCTTCGTAGCACGGTTGATTTAGTACACCTGAAGAGTATACACTTGAGCGAAAGAAACAAAGATATACGTCCTTCACTAAGGTGCATGCTCTTCAGGTTTACTAAATCAACCGTGTTACAGGAAATGACTTAGATTTTTGTACAAACGATTTAACAAATGACGTGTACAAATTAGCGTCTACGACGAGCATTTCTCATTATTTATAATCCTCCTTTTGTTTTCTGGTCCACGTACACCGTTGACCTTAAAGGGCAGGACTGAAGAAGCTGGAAGGGCAGGGGTGATAGTGTCCAATCATGTATCTTATACCGACATCTTATACCACATGTCTTCTTCTTTTGCTAGCTTTGTTGCTAAGGTCAGTCCATTATTAGTCAGCTTTAGATTTCTTTGAAAACGAATTCATTTTTTGAAATACTCCGTATTTAATATGACTTCAAAATGTAATGAGTTGTATAAAGTCAAAATAAATGTTGTTTTTAATTGATATATACTCGGTTTTATCTTAAATTAAACTTCAAGGTTTATGGTGTTTTTAATAAGAATTTTGATTTATAGTGATAAATGAGAAATTCTTTAGAATTGCATATTCTAAACCGTTTTTTTTAGTATTTTATGTTATTACTCATGATTGCGCAGTCTCACATGCTCTGATTAACATTTTTTCCTCAAGAAGCTAAAAAGAAGAATCAATGGCAGGCAATTATGACTTATGGTTATGATGTTTATTTAATTGTTTAAATTCTAGAAGCGGATATTATTGTAGACAACTTTCATTAAATTTGATGCTTAATTATATGAAACTTATTAATAAGACAAAATTAAAGCGAGGAGCAAACTGCAGTGTGAATAATCAAAATGCAAGAGATAAATAATGAATTTTTAATTAAAGATGCAACATTGAACTAGTAATTCTGATATAATCTCAATGAGTAATAGTAATTTTCTGTTATTATTATTATTATTATTTTGCTATATGAGTTATGGGTTCATCACATAAAATAAACTTGTCAAATAATAAACCAAAAGATAGAGCATTAGAGCATGAGAGCAATAAGTTAATCTACATTTGGTCATTAGAAAGTTAGACTTGAAATCATTTACTTGTTAGAATCAACCTTTCATTTGATTCGAAATCCATATGTATTCAATTATTATTCATTAGTTGGCTTCTTTGTTATACTAATTTCTTTTTTATTTTTCAACCTGATGAATATAACCTGAAGAAATCGGTGGCTAACCTTCCTCTTGTCGGCCTTATCAGGTTCTTAGCGCTGCTCCAATCATTAGGCATTAGCTATATGATTTGGTTTGGTAAATTACAATATTAGGCTTATTAGCTTTAATAAAAATCATTTTTGCCCTTGCACAGCAAATGCCTTGGATGTATCTATGTGGAGCGAGAATCCAAGTCGCCGGACCTCAAAGGTGTCTCAGGTAACGAGTTAATTATAGATCCATAATCCATTTAATTTTATGTCATCTAGGGCTAATTGAGCCATAATTTAAAAAGTAATTAAAACATAATCTAAAATTGAAATTATGCATTATTGTTAGTACATAAAGTCTAGTTTTTTTAACCGAAACAAACAACCTTTATTAAGCTAATAAATCATCCGTCACCTGGTTTATTACGATGCAATCCGGTATAAAATTATAACTGCTACTATGATCTGAGATTGCAACATGCGTTCTTGCTAAAGCATGAGCTGCACGATTTGCAGACCGGTTACAAAAAGAGATCTCAAAACAATTGTTTGTTTGAAGTAAACAACGAATATCATCAAGAATAAGGTTCGCGTAGGCAATACCTTCACCTTTCTAAACACCTCGAACAATCACATGTGCATCAGATTCAAACTCTTTCCCAACCTTCCCTAATGGCTCCTAAGACGGCCTCGTGAATCCCCCGCCACTTCACTTTAAACCGAAGACCATTCTGCTTTACACGAAGCCCCAAAGGCTTTAAACAATTCTCCCTGATCATTCCTTGAAACTCGTCCCCATGCTTTAATTCCTCCTGAGTCATCAATCCCTGCATCCACATTCACCTTTATTTCTCCCGCTTTGGACCGTGATACCCTTACGCTCCAGATTTGCGAGCGATGGAAGTGAACCTTCTAAGACCTGCCAAAGAAAATATTTTACCTTTGGTGGGACTTTGAGCTTTCGAGCTCTTTCCATCTGCTCCAATTTCCTACATCCACTCCATGCATTAATGTTTTGTAGCAGCTTTTAACCGTAAACATGCCATTATTTTCCTTGCTCCACCAAAAGTCATCCTTCCTATCTTGAATACTAATTGGAATGCTATTAATGATCTTGATTTCTTCTTCATTAAAATGGCCGATATCCTTTCCATATTCCACCTTTTTCACGTGATATCTCTCAGAGCCGCCACGTTCATGTCAGCAATTTTGGCTGGTTTAGCCGACTGAACGGTACCTTCCCCCGAACCCGTTAGCCATGCATCAGCCCAAACCTGAACCTCCCTTCCATTCCCAACTCTTTGCCAAACGGTTTCAAAACTATTTCGCCAAATATAGGATGAGTTATTACCCAGCTTTGCCTTCAAAAACTCCGAATTAGGGAAGTACATGGCTTTTAAGACACGGCCCATTAGACTCTCTGGGTTTAATAGTAGCCTCCATCCTTGCTTAGCCAGCATAGCAAGATTAAACTCCCTTAATTTTCTGAAGCCCAATCCTCCTGACCCCTTCGGCTTGCACACCAGCTCCCACCGCCTCCACGTAATTCCTTTTTGGTCAAATTTTGTTCCTTTTCACCAGAACCCGTTCATAAGCTTCTATATCTCATCGCATAAATCCCGAGGTAAGAGAAAAACATTCATGACATAGGTAGGCATAGCCTGCACCACATTCCAGAGTAAAACAGCCCTACCAGCACGAGCGATTATTCCAGCTTTTTATCCTGTTAAAAATTCTATCTCGAATGAAGCCGAGGATAGCCGACTTGTCCCCGCCCTATCAGGCTCGGAAGCCCAAGGTATCGCTGTTGTCTGCCATCCTGTGGAACTCCAAAAAAAATTACTGTTCTTTAAAAGGCTCAATAACATTATGGCTGAAGGTAACTGTAGATTTGGGAAAATTAATCGCCTGCCCTTAGCTTTCCTCACACTCCTGCAAAATCTCCTTCACTGCATTACATTCATTACTGGATGCTTTAAAAAATAAGAAACTATCATCAGCAAAAAATAAGTGGGTTACTCGTGGGGCTCCCTTGCACACAGCCACACCATGAACATCCCCTCTCTGCTCAGCCTTTCGTAATAAGGCACTCAACCCTTCAGCTACAAGAATAAAAAGATAGGGAGACAAGGGATCCCCCTGTCGCAATCCCCTCTCCGGGCTGATATGACCCAAAAATTCACCATCAAACTGAATGTAGTAGCTAACAGTTCCGACACACTCCATAATTATATGAACATATCGACTATTAAACCCCATCTTACATGAAATCCTCTCCAAGAAAGCCCAATCAACTCTATCATATGTCTTGCTCATATCAAGCTTGAGCGCAATAAACCCTTCTTTCCATAGCTCTTCCGCTTCAAATAATGTTGAGTCTCAAAAGCAACAATAATATTATCTATTATAGACCTTCCCGAAATGAATGCACTCTGACTCTCACCCACCAGAGTATTCATAATTCCTTTCGGCCAGTTACCTAAAACTTTTGAAAAAAAATTATAAACCACATTGCAAAGCGCAATTGGTCTCCAGTCTCCCACACAGTCCGGTTTATCATTTTTAGGAATCGGGACTATATTAGTAATATTAATGTTTGTAGCCAAAATACCTGACTCAAACATATTAGCACACAGGGCCGAAATCTCTGGGCCCACATCCCAATAGGCCTGAAAAAACGTTGGGTTCATGCCATCCGACCCCGACGCCTTCTCCGGGTGCATGTCGAAAACCGTCGCTTTAACCTCATCCGAACAGATTGGCTTTATTAACATTATATTTTGTTCGCCTGAAACATGTGTGAAAGCCCCTCTAATATTCGTAGACTGATTCGCCTCCGATGCCTGAAACAACGATAAAAAATAATTCATGACGATTGAACCCAACTCGCCCTTACCTGTAATCCACGCCTCGTCAGCCAGCTTTATGCTTGACATTATATTTTTCCTTCTTCTTTGTTTAACTACATTGTGGAAAACCGAGAGTTGGTGTCTCCTTCTTTGAGTCAAAATTCCTTAGTCCTCTGTTTCCAAAAAACATTCTCCTTCTCCAAGAGAATTTGTAACACTGTCCTGACCCTCAGAAACTCTGCCACACTTGCCCTATCCTCCTTTCCCGACAGCCAAGATAACCTATTTTTACAGACCAGAATCTGATGTCTAAATCCCCGTTTTCTGCATTTGTTCCACCGGAGTAGTTCAGCTCCACAAAAAGAAATTCTTTCATTAATAGCCATATGGGCAGCTGCCCCCTAACTGTTAGTTACCACCAAACGACATTCTTCTTCCTTAACCCAATTATTTTCAAATTTGAATCTCTTTATTCTATTAGTTTGGTTAGAAATTTTTACCTTCAACCAGAGGGGCATGTGATCGCTTGTCGGGGCTTCCACTGAAGTTGCCTGAGCCTCCCTGAAAGTGTCCCAACACTCATCGTTCACAAGAATTCGATTAAGCTTTTCTTCCACCCAATATGCAGTACCTTTGCCTCTATCCCACATCTATTGATATCCCGAAAAAGGAAAATCTTGTAACCCACAACTATGAACTACTTCTCGGAACCCACGAATCCTCCAAGGAAGATGAGGTATACGCCCCTTCTTCTTCGATTCGAACAGAATATCATTGAAATCGCCGATTAGCATCCACGGTCCACTGTTATTCACACCCAAATCCTCCAACATAGCCCACGCATCCCGCCTCTGTCGAGTCTCTGGAAAACCGGTAGAAGCCTGTCATCCGCCATGGTTGTTCATTCGCCTTCATAGTTAATCGACAATCAATGAAATTTTGCACTCCCTTCAAAATCTCCACCTCGACATCATCTTTCCAGCCCAACACCAGTCCGCTGCTCATACCCTCACGATCAATTCCATAGGAATCGTGAAAGCCATGATTCCGGATAATCTCCTTCGCTCTCTTTGACCGTGAACCTTGGTCTCCGTCAAGAAGACGATCGACGACCTATTTGATTGCACCAAATCTGCGAAACATTGAGATGTGGCTGGGTTATCTAAACACATGCAGTTCCAACTAAGAATGTTCATCCTACTCTGGAGAGAAACGTCAAGCCAATGCCGAAAAGAAAAATCGAATTGAGTGACAATCGTTACCGCCGGTACAAACACCTAGGAGGATCCCTAGAGACGGCCGCTGTTGCTTGTAGAGGACACTGGGCGGAGGATAGTTACTGTCAAACTTTAGTACATAAAGTCTAGTTAATACATACATAATCTAAATTTGGAATAGCTAAACAGCCTTGAATCTTGATATTCTAGCAAACAACAGTAGCTAATACCAATTATGTTAGGGGATCGACAAAGATGAAATACATTAGTTGTTTTGACTAACTATCAGGATTAAAGTGAGATGTTTGATAATTTAATTGCTATGATTAGTTGCTATGATATATACTTTGTATATATACTTTGTACACTTTGTACATTTGGCTTTACTTTTAAGATCTCTTTGATAATTTTTGAAAAATAAATTGAAATTACATTTAATATTTTTTTAAAAATCACTACCATTATTATTATTATTTTAATGCATACATATATTTTGATTTATTTTTAGTATTGTTATAATATTATATTACACAGTACTATTTGAGATCTTTTTTATTTTTACTAATTTTTAAAATCATATTAATAACAATTATGGGCAGTATCCATCATGATGTTACTTATTATTGATATTACATTGTTATTATTGTTATTATTTGTATTTTAGTAACCATTACTTTTATTTTTTTGAATAATTGTTAAATAATTAACGATAGAGGTAAAATCTGATGGTAAATTAGGCTTTTGAAACACTCACAAAACTGCTATGAAAAAGCCAAAAAGGTGTGATTATAATTTATGTCAAACAACTAAAGCCAATAGAAGAAAAAACTGCTCAATCGGTTTATAAGTCGTTTATAATCACCTTAAGTATTAGGGAGTATTTCCTGAAACTATTTGCTGTTCTTTTGGTTGTAGGTGCAGTAAACCAAAGAATACAGGAAGCTTATCAAAACAAGTTTTTCCCCATGGTTATACTTTTTCCAGGTCAAACAAACTCTTATTTTTTTAATTATTTCTGCCATATGTAACTACATTTAGGGGTAGACCCGGTCCGGAACCGGGTCCAGCACTGTTTGGGATCAAAATTTCAGGTTTCAGGCCTAGGACTGGCCCTGTTCGCCGAAGAGGGGCACCCCATTCCGGACTGGCGAATTTTTTTTAGCCTTGAAAAAAATAGAAACGGGACCAGAAGACCAGAACTGGGACCAGACCGCCAGGATACCCAGAACCAGTCCAAACTTGGATATAACCTCGTCGAACCCAGGCTTCTCTAACCAATGACTGGGACCGGTTGGTCTAGGACCAGTCGGTTTACGACCGGGACCGGGACCGGGACCGGGACCGGGACCGGGACCGGGACCGGGACCGGACCGGGACCGGGACCGGGACCGGGTCCACCCCTATCCATTCATGAAGAATTGCAGACCTTTTCACATAATTTGCAGTCTACTGATTTTTCTGTTAAATACTTTTAAAACAACACAGAAGGTACAACAACAAATGGAGACTTTCTGCTTCCATTCAAAACTGGTGCATTTGTGTCAAACGCTCCAGTCCATCCTGTCATCATTCGATACCCATACCGGAGACTTAGCCCTGCCTGGGAATCCATATCAGGGGTATTTCTGTAAATATTGTTGATCCTTTTTGTCTTCTACAACTGATCAATTAACATGAGAATTTGGGATGTCATCTTACTTCCAGGCTAGGCATTTGATTCTCCTTCTCTGTCAGTTTGTAAATTGTATGGAAGTGACCTGGTTACCAATATATTATCCCTCACAACAAGAAAAGGAAGATCCTAAACTATATGCAGATAACGTGCGCAGATTTATGGCTCACGAGGTATGTTTGTCTACCAAGGTGAAACTAGCTACCTGCTCATATAAATATTAGGAATTATCTAACACCTGATGAACTGATGAAGTCCTACAAAGATCTGTCATATTTGACTTTTGTGGTCAAAAGTGTTAACCAATAATATATTTCAATGAAAATTTTTGGTTTTGAACTTTTGAAGCACAACCTCTTCATATTGCTTTCATATCATAAACCGTTTTGTATAAACAATATATTCTTGGTCAATGTTTAACATCTTTGGCCGAAAAAGTCAAATATAGTCAGAGGTGGTGTAATGTAGTACAGAAAGTGACCCGCCTTACCTAAAAAGCTAAAACTGATAGCTGGACCAGACACTTATTATTTATATTATTACATCTCAACATAATAAAATCAAGAATATACTCCTCATTAGGCTTATTCTCAATGCAGGGAAGTCTGATACTCTCGGATAGTGGATTGGCAGAGAAACGAGAATATCTTACTGCCCTTAATGATTATAGAAGCATTTGCACTGTTAATAATCATCAGAAAGAAGATTAGTATCGCTTTTTCCGGGGAGAAACCTAATGATTGTTTTATCATACACAAGAGCTAGTTGTTATTGCATTCCCAATGTAAGAAAGAAGTCAGTTATTTATTGCTTTTTTTAAGCAATGAAACATTTAATATATCACCAAATTATACCACACAACTACATGAAAATACAGACATAAAAAAACCTTCTGAATTGGTATACTTATGTTGTTCACCTTTCCTTTAGAGAGCGGTTGGTTGACCGTCTCAGTTCCCATGAAGAAGGTATGCAGCCTCTTAAGGGAGACTGTAGGAATAGTGAAGATGTTGAGAGATGTCTTTGCCTAGTTGAAATTGAAGAAAGGCAACTAAAAGCACTTCTTAACCTTCTCTTCTCACTCTTGCATTCTTGGCTATTAGGGTCATGTTGCACAGCAGCAATCCTTAGTGCTTCAGGTAACACAAAGTTGAACGTTGAGCCTAAGCGAACCAAAAAAAACTCTGATCAGGGAAGGCATCTCAAAGGCTCCGTTTGGTAGCCAAAGATCGGCAGTTCATCTTATTCTTCTTATCAGAAAAACAAATAGGTTTGACTTGCATGATTGAAATGGATATTACCAAACACTTTTCTTATCGCTAAGGGTCTTCTAGGTTAGGGTGATTTTGCTGAAATGGCTAAAAAAATATTTGTTTGAAGGAAAAGTATTAAAAGTATTTGGTAAAATCATTTTCAAGTTTCAACAAAATGACCACATGAAAAGCTCCTAAGCCCCTCGTGTGGCAAAACATCAACATATGAACCACATATAAGACCCTTGACCAGACTTCTATAAGGTTTACCTTACCAAGCAGTTCAAAAAAATAAAACCATCAATCGGAACATATATTGACTGAATGGGGAATGGTATACCTAGCTTCGCAAGTCGGTTGACCCAGTTAGGGATTTTCTTTCCGGTAAGCTTGTAACATATGTCGTTGCAGAAATGGTTGCAGTTTTTCACAATAAGGTGATAGGTGTCGCCGTTATAGCTGGCGGATTGACGCTCTATAAACTCTCTCACTTGGGTATGATTCAATTTTGTAGTCCCAATGAATATGGATTTCCTAAACTTGAAGCCTGGACATTGTTGCGGTTCAACTTCAAATACTCCACTACTTGGATAGTCATGAGCTCCATATGCATACTCTACACCATGAACTGAAAGTGCAAACCGTTGTAGAAAAAGGAAACAAAATTTAATGAAGCAAAAGAACATGTTTGAATCCCAGAAAATGCTAGGGAATAGGGGAGGAATAATAACAAAGCTGACTTGTGTTTGGCTTTGCACTGGAAAATAAAAAGGGAAATGAAATATGGTAAATGTTCTTGAATTGTTTACATACGTTTAGATTTTTTGTCTTTATATAAAAGAAATAGAAAAAATTAAATGAGCTTGAAGAAATATAAAAATAAATTGAGTTTGAAAAATCTTTAATTACTACTCACATTTCCCTTCCAAATATATCTTTTATTTTCCCTCTAAATTTCCTTGGCTAACATTATACGAGTTTCAAACAGACTATACGAAGCTATATAATTGTCATTTTACCTTCCACTCCAGAATGAAAGATGCCAAAGCCTGCCCAGTAGACATAACCATTCATAGGTGTCAAGTCATACACGTTGAGATAAACGGGTGTGTCACCAGGGCCATAACTATCTGTCTGTTTTGCTTTTGGAATTGGAAGAAAGCAGAAGTTGCTTGCCCCTTTGCCTTTGAAATGGAGTGGCAAAATTGATTTCCGCCCTTTCTTTACCTTTAGTTTCATTGCGATTTCAATTAAGGAAGTGCAACTCAAGGAAAGTCAAGGCCAACTTGAATTCTTGTAAACCTTTACAAAAAAGATGAGGTAATTACTCAAACCAATACTAGTTTGCATTAAAAGTGCAATTACGTTATAAGAAAGAAGGAAACACCATTGGAGTACCATAGGTAATCAAAATGATGCGGTTATTTCCCTTAGTAAACAAGTTTCTTTTAGTTAACGACTTAAATACGAAGTATAATTCATGTTTTCATCATCTTATAGCATTCCAACATCAAAGGAAAAAACAACTTCCAATGTGTTGTGTATTGAATTATGAATTGTACATGGAGTGAAGGAGGTTGGACATATAGATACAATCCTAAGGTGTGTAAAATTACAGAGTAGAATTCTTATAAAGGAAGTTGCTATTGAATAAGACATATCTCCTGATATAATAAATACGGAGTATAAGATACTCAATTATTCAGGTATGTTCCCAATACTTTTGACTAAAATGTAGCATGCTTTTATGTACAGAAATGACATTATTGTAACATTAGGCGCTATTTAATACGGAGTACAATCTACAAGTACTTGAATGTCATTTATAGAATTATTATAGCTCAATCACATTGCTAAAATATAGTCATTTTGCATTGTTCTTTAATTCAAGTACATTAATTTGTTTACAGCATCTAGATCTGCAAGTAATGATGAAGCATAGCTCGAAACTAGCAAGGCCTGCTCAGCTTAAGATGTGAAAAAGATCGAACCCTAGTGTTGACTACTGAAAACTACACTGTTGATAAAAGAAGAAAACTAGCTAATTGTATCATTAATTAACAGTAGAACTTGAACCCATGTCTGAAATCTTGATAACAAGATAAATTCACAACAAACAGAGTAGAAGAAAAATGAGCTTCAAAACCACAATTCTATCAGATCTCGTAAACAAAAATGAGATCTTTTTTTAAGAAGGCAAAAAAAACAGTGGTGCTAGCATAAAGAAAACAGAACAAATAAGGGAAATGGTAAACTTACATATTTCCATCAGCAGAAGAGAGCTCAAGCATGAAGATTTGAGCTTCTCTTGAGAAATGGGAAAACACGAAATCAATTCTTGCTAGGCGAGAGAATAGGTGGGACAAACAGTCTTTCTTGGTATCTTTCACTGAGCTATAGAACAAGCAGACTTGACAAAACTCCGATGAAGTCTGAAACGGTGAAGACGGCTCAATTCGATTAGAGCAGACAAGCATATACTCCGTGAAGCTATGTGGCAGAACTTCACTGCTGCCAGAGATGGGAGTGTGTGTCTGTCGGGGTGGGGGTCGGGTGGGGGTTGGGGGTATCACCGTATCAGGCAAGGAAAAGAATGAAAAAAAGGGAAGGGTGTATCTGAAGAGACCGAGTAATAATGACTCATAGTCATACTACGTATTCTGTATGGAGTATAAAAGTCCTTTAAATTTAGAAATGAACTTTTGCTATACTTTGAGTTAAAATTTAGGAGTTTTTTGCTTTTTTATAAATCAGTGATTATTAAAAAAAAATTAGATCCAAAAGATTTATATTAAATCAGATAAGAAAAGTTTAGACCAAATTTGATTGACAATATACAGACTTGATGAGGATCCTAAAAGTTCATATTACAAACATTCAAATTAGGCAAATAATACTACTTCTTAGATTGAAAAAATCATTTACATTTTGTTAAACTCAAATAATTAATTGACATTTGTTTGCATGAAAATTAAAGCTAGATTTAGAGCTCGTTTGGTAACACTAAAATTGGCTGAATTGTCTGATTCTGCTGAAATTTATGAAATCTGGCTGAAGTTGCTGTATTGGCTGATTCTGCTGATTATTAAAAAAATTATATGAAAAATAGTTAAAATGATACTCTACAGTAACTTCAGCCAATACAGCCAGAAAAGTAACTTCAACCTTACTTTTTCTGCTTATTAAATAATTCAACGCGCGAAATCAAAATTTACGTGTTTGGTGAAAAAGCTGGCTGATAAACCTGTGATAAGCCGAAAAAAGGATCACCAAATGGCTCTTAATTGTCTCAGAGTTATCATAAGTTTATGTCAATTTTATCCTGTTGTGATTCAAATTTGTCTTGTTTATATAAAACATGTGTTGGGTTAATAGGCCCGATAGCAGGTCGACCCATTATTACCCACTAAACATGGGGACCATCAGGCCCATATGGGATATGGCCCAGCAGACGGGCTTGGGAGACGACGCTCGTCCAAGGAGTCCAAGGCCCAACAAGGACCAGATGATATTCTGGGATCCTCGGTTGGGGTACACACCAGTTGTACTGATTCTTGTCCTTCGCAGGATTCTAGGCCCAACCTGGCCATGATCCACCAGGATGATGTCAAGACGCTCGGCCTCATTGGCCTTTGCCCAATGAGTGCCAGAGAACATTCTAGGGCCCTCGGCCAGAGAACTGGCATGAGCCACACGAAGCCCGACCCTTGGGCCTCCACATTGAGGAGCTCAGATCGGGGGACGCTCGTCCATGTTCCATGGCGGGAAACCAAGATATTGGCGGGAGGCGCATTTAGTGCAGTAGATTTGGTGGTTGGGAACTTGCCATCCACAGCCCTCTACGTCAGCAACACCACCTACCTCTTGGTAGTATAAATAGTATCATTTATTTCTTTGTAAAGGATTGACAACTTATTACTCTTAGCATATACTACCTCCGTTCCTTAAAATTTTGCCAAAGTTGACCGGCATAGAGAATAATAAAGTAAAAACTGTGTGGTTGAGGTTTGTGCAGAGGAAAGAGAAATAACAGAAACCACGAAATAATTGATTAAAAAGAAAAGTGACAAAGTTTTTTGGGACGCCCCAAAAAGAAAAGATGGCAAAGTTTTAAGGGACGGAGGGAGTAGCAATTATCTTAAGCTCTTAGCAGTGAGATAGGCGAACGGCCTCGGGGCTAATAGTTGAAGTGTGTTGTATACGGACCCTTATTATCATTTAATAAGATACGGTCCACTTGCTACTGATTTTTTGATCCATCTTACTTGTTTGCTTCTTAACCCACTAAACTCTCCACTCGAAACTCAAAGAAAACGTGTTGGGCCTTTGGATTGAAGGAATAAACCTCAACAACATGTATTTGTATTGTAATCTTACATGTTTCAGATATTTTAGTTGTGTAGTCAAACATATTTATTTTATTCAATTGCATTTAAGTTTCATCATCTTATATACAACTTCAAATAATAATCTCTGAATCGAATACTAAACTTCAGCTCAATTTTCCAACCCTAAGCCGACGTAAGCTAAAAGTCTAGTGTCCTCTGGCGTCCTCCGTTGTGGGGTCTCCAGTGACCTACATTGCCCGAAC